TTTGAAGTGTCGCAACTCTATCATTCCATAGAGGTTTAGCACCTGTATTCATTCGTTGATACCAGTAAAAATTCTTCTTTCAATAAAGCATCCAAAAGTTGAAAATACTTATCAAGCATAGTGTAAAATCAACAAAACAATGAAACCCATGAAATAGTTTCTCTTAGCAATCATCATGTGTGGAAAAATTTTTCAATATCGAAATAATCCCATTTTGTAGCTCTGGAAAAGCTCTATCCAATGGTCAACACGAAAACAGTTGTGCATTGAAACAATGACTACAAAATTTTCATATATTGTGTAAATAGAATTAAATACTAGCAAAAACCTAAAACTGACTCAACACTTTCTATTGGCAATACTTATATGACCAAGAAATTTTAAGTATTCCGATGTTGCCATTCTAGATCCCTTGAAAAACTCTTTGCACCACATGATACGACGGAAAGTTGTTGCCCGAATAAAGCATTGATAAATTCCTCATGCTTATCAACCATAATAGATAAGCAGCAAACCAATGACATGTTTGAAACAGTTTTCTCTTAGCAATTATCATCTGTGAAAAAGCTTTCGAGTATCGAAACAATGCCATTTTGTAGCTCTCCAACAGCTCTATACAATGGACAACACGACGAAATCTATTCATTTGAATAATGTCTACAAAAATTTCATATAGTTTGTGAACATAATGAGAGAGTAGAAAAATCGTTATCACGGCTGTATAGTTTGTATTGTGAATCATCATATAGTCAAACATTTTGGAGTGTCTCAACTCTATCATTCCATACATGTCTGGCAGCTCTGTTCATTAGTTGATGCTAGTAAAAATTCTTCTTGCAATAAGGCATACAAATATTCCTTATACTCATCAAGCATACTGTGAAATCAATAGAAGCATGACATCGATAAAACAGTTTCTCTTAAGAATTATAATCTGTAAGAAATTGTTCGACTAACGAAACAATCCTATTTGGTAGGTCTTGAAAAGCTCTAGCGAATGTGTGACATGACGAAAACTATTCATTCCAGTAATGGCTACAAAAGTTTCATATAGGTGGTAAACATAATTAGAGACTAGAAAAATTTTCACCACGGCTACATAGTTTGTATCGTGAATCAGCATGTGGTCGAACATTTTAGAGTATTTCACATCTACCATATCATTGCCATTTCGAAGCTCTATCCATTAACTCACACGAGTAAAAGTTTTTCATCGAATAAAGCATCCAAAAATTCAATATACTTATCAAATATGACGTCATATCAGCAAAACAATGATATCCATAAAACAGTGTGTCTTAGTAATTAGAATGTGTGAAAACTTCTTCGAGCATTAAAAAGCTCTATCTCAAGGGTGACACGAGAAAAACTGTTCATTGTACTCATAGTTACAAAAGTTTCATACAGTTTGTAAATGTAATTAGAGACTAAAATAATCTTCAGTATGGCTGCATAGATTGTATCGTGAATCATCATGTGATCAAGTATGTTGAAGTGTCTTATCTGTACCATTCTGTAGTCGTTGAGCAGCTCTATTTACTGGATGATAGGAACAATATGTTCATGTCAATAATGCACACGAAAATTGTTTGCAAGGACAACAGAAACAGAAAATCAGCAGGGAAATCGGTCATCGCCTATATAGTTTGCTTTCATATACATCATGTTGCGAAAGGTTTTCGGAGCATCGAAAGTATACCATGTTAAAGTATTTGCAAATCCGTTTTGAAACGATTATACGGAAAGAAATATTGATTCTATTAATGGATATATAATTTCCTTGAAGTTATCAAATAGAATCTATTATTAGCAAAAGGATCACCTCCTCTATCGTTTCCATGGGTAATCATGTTGTGGCCAACTTTTGTGAGTATCTGAACTGTTGCAATTTTGTAGTTCTGGAAAAGCTATATCGAACAGGTGATATGAGAAGAAAATATTTATTTCAATAATGCATACAAAAATTGATTATGAACATTACAAAACAGCTTTTTATTTGCGTGGAAATGCAAAACTTAAGTGACTGAAGCGTATGAGTGGAGGTGCCAGGAAGGTTGTAATAAAACCTTGAGTTTGGTGTAAATATGTTGTAATAACCGAGTATCTGCATAATAATGCTGTTTGAATTGATTAGGGAAGGCATAGTGTCAGTGCTCGATTGATGATCTTATATACCCTTGTCGTTTAAAATAATATTGTTTTTCGTTTGTCTTTGATTTCTTTAGTTCACAAAAAGTAGCTGTTTTTGCCATGGATTTTGTATTGATCTCTAATTTCTGTAGAGGATCGTAGTTCTGATCTTGGTAGTTAGGCACTCGTCCATGTACGCATCTCTAGTCATCATATGTTTGCTTTTCATTTTACTAGATGTTAGTAAGAAAATAGTAAATAAGTAAAGGTCATGACTGTGCAATATGGATTTACTGAACTCTAGACTGACGGAAAGATTACAAAGATGTCCTTATATTTTCACATAAACATCAATTCTGTACACTGATCAGCTAAAAAGGAATTATTTCTTTTTCTAGCATGTTCCATATTACATACTATAAGTATATTCAAACAGTTGACATAAAATACTGAAAGATACTAATGAATATGATAATGTTTAGCCTTTAGTAGTTTATAACGAATAAAAAACGATGATTTATGCTATCGTAACGGCTATTTCTATCGCGTACATGACCGATCATGACACATACATGTTCATTTGAGCCTTAAGTATGGTCGACTGCTCCATGAAATGATTGATTGTGCCGTGAAAATGGCAAATTGATGTAAATATAAGATTGTTTGTATCATGAAAATAGATAACTATGCCGCCGAAATTACGGTTTTTATGCTGTAGAAATGACAATTCGAGCCGCAAAAAGAATCACATGTGCGAAAACAGGGCTGTCTTTTGCCATAAATATGACGACTTGTGCCAAAAGATGGTCACTTGTGGCAAGTCCTTGTTATAAACAGGCAGAAGTGAATTACGTTTTGTAGGTCCAAATCTTTCAGTCTAGAGAATAAATTTCTAATATATGAAAAACATTCACTCGAAAAGTGGCAGATTAACAGACATCACATACTGTCAGGCTCTAGTTCTGGTCGTAGTACAGTTTTAGTTGATGATTCCGCACATGTCCGCTCCTGGATTTTCATGAGTTTTTAGCGCTTGCCATAGTGCGTGGAAGCGAAGAGGAATCGTCTAAATTCTAGTCTTTATACTTCTATGTAACGAAAAATTGTATGTGTGATCCAACTTTTCCTGATCTTGTCTTTGTCTTCTCTTGATTTAATACACTTGTGTTACTTTTTGCCCTCAATTGCTTTTTTTATTTCAATAAAACTATTCTTCTTTTGCCTATAAAGTTATACATCACTATGCATATCACTCACACACGTGTAAATCATTGCTTTATTTTACTCTCACCGCTCACTATCATCGAATGTATTTATTCTTCACTGTTCTCTTTTCTCCTTCACTTTAACCTTCTCGACAAAAGAGAGCTATAAGTTTATATACACGATATAGCACAGCGCTTACACAAGTATGAAAAAGAACAATGTACAGCGGACCGATTACAAAGACATTGAGCAAGTATTGAAGGATGATATGAAATAAGAATGATATAATGTAAGAATAATATGAAATATCGATGATAACATATTATATTGGTGC